GGGGTCAGGGAGAGCTCATTCAACAAGATTAGGGCTTTTATTTCTGGGCTGAAATTACAGGACAGGAAGTATTACTGAGGAGCAGGAGAGGGGTCTAGGCCGTCCCGGTCCCTCTATCCCTCTATGTACAAGGGGGCTGGATGTCGCTGCTAGACAGGTCGCTGTTTCAAGCAGGTGTCTGTTAAGCATTGGGTCAGTCCCTAAATGTAGGGGGGGGGGCACCTTGGCAGCGATTCAGAGGAGCCACAGTGGCTGATGTCAGTACAAGTCACACAGGGCCACCTTGGGGTCCGAGAGGAACATTCTGTGTTGGATTGGGCTCAGGGGGAAGGAGCCGTGCGGAGAGGAGACGGGTAGGATGGGAGAACACTGGGGACTCGGGAGAGGGGTGAGGATCGGCCGCTCGGTATTCCCAGAGTTACCGGGGGCAGATTTGGAGCAGAGCACCATAAAAGCACAAGAGAGCCGCTGCATTCTTCATGTTTATAGTTTGCTGGCTGAAACAAGAACGTCTGTCCACCCCGGCACGCAGCCTGACCGAGATGTTCTTAAAGAAAGGCAGACTCGCGCGGCACACTGAAATGCAGGCAAAGCTCGCGATTCGCCGCACCACCTGGCACACGGCAAACCAGCGACAGCCGTCGTCGGTATAGCCGCAGATACTCATGAGCGCTTCTGCGACAGACCCAAACGTTTTATCCTTTTAAAAAATCAGCCACTCTCATTCTGGTCCGATTACTATTTATTTTTTTGTTCATTATTACGAAAAGCTGGAGCGACACTGACTGTCACCACGGCAGGAAGGACGGAATGAGCAGGAAGCCGTTTAAGTTAATCTGTCACATGGATTAGAGGGACAGAAAATGGTGAAACGGGAGAGCAACTTACACACGTATCTGACTCTTCTGTCCTCTAAGAGTCGGCTGCTTGGTGCAGCCGGGACTAAATGCTTATAACAAATGATGTTTGGACAGAGAGGAATGAGCGATAAGCTTTCAGTACCAGGAAAGTCAGATGTTTTTATGATTGAGTTCCCGTTCCTCGATCACTTTTTCCAAACTTAATTTAAAAAGAGCGCCACCTGCATCCAGCTCCATTTGGACGGCGCCTGCAGAGGCTGGCTGATGTTCCCGGTGCATCGCGGGGGCACTGCCGCCTCCTGCTCCCTCCTGGAGCACAGCCCTGAGGCCTTCATTGGCTTGTCGAATCCATCAATCAATCAGCCGACCAATCAGGCTGACTTCAATAAGCACATTTCTTTTTTCATCGGGGACACTTGCTGCAGATACTTTTCAGTGAATTTTCCAGAGGGGCTGAAAAAATAGAAAAGCCCAGTTTGCCAAAATATTTAATACGCCACTGGGAAAATGAGGCCTATAAATACAGATTATGGGCCATAATGGTAAAGGACATGTCAAGGTCACTGGCCACTGGATTGCAGTTTGCTGTTCCATCTGCTGGAGGCAGGGGGCAGTATCAGCAGGCTGCAGCACACTGAGACAGGGGGCTGCTGGAAAAAGGGAACTAAACAGCTGCCCAGTGGACCAAGTCTGACCCCACCTCATTCAGCTGTGCCTTCCTCTGCTCGGTCTCTCTCCCTGACCTGTCTCACTCCGTCTGTCCAATCACCTCCCTCTGACCAGTCACCTCTCTCTGTCCAATCACCTCCCTCTNCTCTGACCAGTCACCTCTCTCTGTCCAATCACCTCCCTCTGACCAGTCACCTCTCTCTGTCCAATCACCTCCCTCTAACTAATCACCTTTCTCAACCCAATCACCTCCTTTTGCCCAGTCACCTTCCTCTGCCCGGTCTCTCTCCCTCTGCCCGGTCTCTCTCCCTCTGACCTGTCTCACTCACTCTGACCAGTCACCTCTCTCTGACAAATCACCTGCCTCAACCCAATCACATCCTTCTGCTCAGTCACCTTCTTCTGACCTGTCTCCCTCCCACTGACCTACCTCCCTCCCACTGACCTGTCTCCCTCCCTCTGACCTGTCTCCCTCCCACTGACCTATCTCCCTCCCNACCTCCCTCCCACTGACCTGTCTCCCTCCCTCTGACCTGTCTCCCTCCCACTGACCTATCTCCCTCCCTCTGACCTGTCTCCCTCCCACTGACCTGTCTCCCTCCCACTGACCTATCTCCCTCCCTCTGACCTATCTCCCTCCCACTGACCTGTATCCCTCCCTCTGACCTATCTCCCTCCTTCTGACCTGTCTCCCTCCCTCTGACCTGTCTCCCTCCCTCTGACCTATCTCCCTTCCTCTGACCTGTCTCCCTCCCACTGACCTATCTCCCTCCCACTGACCTGTATCCCTCCCTCTGACCTATCTCCCTCCCACTGACCTGTATCCCTCCCTCTGACCTATCTCCCTCCCTCTGACCTGTATCCCCCCTACTGCCTCATCAACTCACTTTGACAGATTTTCTCTTTTTTTGAATTGAGACCACAATTTCACTTTAGCAATATATTTCTCTTTTTATTGTTCTTTTGCATTACACATTGTCTTTGTAAAAATGGAACGAACTATATGTACAGTAGAGGTGTACAATACTGATATTGCTGGAGGATATTTAAACTTTTTAGATTTTCAAAGTGAGCAGCTACCATTTTTAGAATCAGCAATGTTAGCTAAAGACACAAAACTCAAATGATGGACACAATTGCATTGGCCGGTCAATCGCTTTCTGTAGTGGAGGATGATGGAGTCCATCCCAAAGAAATGATTAAATCTGACCCATAGATTGACCAGATAAAAAATGCAGTGTCATTCCTCTCTCTGACGTGTATATATCCCCACAGATGGATCCGGTGCAGAAAGCCGTGATCAACCACACCTTCGGGATTCCGCTGGTGAAGACCAAGCGCCCAGTCATCTCCTGCAATGTCTGCCAAATCCGCTTCAACTCTGAGGTATTGGTCCATCAATATGTCTGTAACAGCTTAAATCCAGAGGTATCAGTCCCTGTGTTTCTGTACATCTGCCTCATTTTTGAGTGTTACGCCATTTGTGTGTCAGTAAATCGGTTCCACCTCTTGGGTATCAGTCAGTCTGGTTGCATGTGTTGTATATATATATGCTTAGAGGTATCAGTCTATATATCAGTGCTATTCGGACGTGTCTTTCTGTCTGTCTGTCTGTCTGGTTGCCAGTAAGCTTCCATCTGCTTGAAAAAATATATATATACAGAATGATTCCAGCTAACAGAAGATGCATCCAAACCAAAGTTACTGTTTTCCTGAATGATTTATTACTCAGGATAAATCCAGTCCGAAGTCTATGGTAGGACCTGAAAAATCGCGTGTTTGTGTTTATGCATAGTCTTAGTGTATGCCTGGTACAGCATGTGTACGTGCATGTGTGTGTCTGTGCACCTCTCATTCAGCTGACCCTACCCCCCGAAGCAGGGATGTCACCTCCTGATGGTATGTTGTCCCCTAGGTGCCCCTGTGTCCCCAAAAAACAGAGTGTTTCCTTTTGTGACTCCGGAGCCAAACACTCATCACAGACAGACATTCCCCACATCAGTGGTCATCTAGTTATCTAGTGAGTCACAGCAGATGCCTGACTTTGCAGGATTTGTATTGCTACCATACAAAGTTGATTAAGGCTTCTGCATAATTACAGGTGCACTCTGGGGTCTTGCCAATACACTGCAGTCCTGCGACTGAAAAAGCTAACAGCCACAAAGCAATAGCTACGCTTTCTCACATTTACTCTTGTTCACGTTGCTGAGACTTCGGTCCAAAGCATCTTACAGGTTACAAGAGACATCATTGCTGACAGCAGCTGATTCACAAGGGAGGTGGGGAGATGTGGAGATGTGGAGATGGGGAGATGGCTTTTAAGCAGCAGTGAAGACACAAACAACCAGCACTTTATATTGTGCAAGGGAAATAAATTAGCAACATATGTTGTTTTTCACAAAAACATGGTTCATTATCTGCCCCAGCCAGTTCATCAGCTCCATATGCAGGATACACAGAATATCATCTTTTGCTCTGATTTTATTTTTAGATTGTGCGCTGTTTACATGGTGAGTGAACCCTGTGTCCCTCCCAGCACACAGCACTCCGAGCCCCCCAGTTCAGATATCACTCCAGCTCTGGGTGTTCAGCCATGTGAGGCAGCTGGGGCGTGGGGGCTGTTTAAGGGCAGGTGCATGGAGAAATGTAACACGGTCAAGGTGGAAGAGGGAGCAGGAGAGAGGCAGAGGAAGAGAGAGGGAGAGAAGGAGAGAGGGACAAGGAGAGTGGGAGAGAGGGAGAAGGGAGAAGGGGAGAGGAAGAAAGGGAGAAGGACAGATGGAAGAGACAGTAAGAGGAGGAGAGTGGGAGAAAGAACTAGGAATGGGAAGAGAGAGGGAAAGGTGCGAGAAGGAGAAGCAGAGAGGGGGATGTGGAGAGAGAAGGAGAGAGGTAGAAGAGAAGGGAGGGAGAAAGAACTAGGAACAGAAAGCAAGAGGGAGAGAGGTAGAGGGACACAGAGAGTGGAAGAGTTGGACAGAATGAGTGAGCAAGTGAGAGAAAGAAGGAGAAGTGAAAGGGAGAAAAGGGAGAAGGAGAAAGGAAGAGGGAGAGAGATGTCATTCTGTTGTGATGGACGTCCTTGCCCAGTGTTTCTGTTCAGCACTGCTGCTGCACAAAGGGGGAGTCAGGGGGAGTCAGGAGGAGTCACGAGGAGTCGGCTGTGAATGTTCATCTCCCAGCACCGCTGCACGCAGCCCCTTTTGGGCTCTGGTGTGTGAACGGCAGGTCAGGTTTCACCCATCTGCAGACCCCCACACCAGCGCTCAGCGCAGCACGCTCAGCCTCACCCGGACCTCACAGACCCCCACACCGGCGCTCAGCGCAGCACGCTCAGCCTCACCCCGGACCTCACAGACCCCCACTGGCTCTTATCGGGCTTTTTACTTGTGTGAGAGAGAGTGTAAATAATAATAATCGATACTTTATTAATCCCCGTAGGGAAATTGCCTTTACGTCTCCCTCAACTTGCTCTTTGTGGAGTAAGTTGTCTGCGAAGGGCAGCCACCTGTAGCAGCGCCCAGGGAGCTGGGGGTTAAGGGCCTTGCTCAAGGACCTGCAGATGTGCTGAGGCTGCGTTTGAACCAGCGACCTTCTGATTACAGGCACACAGGCACAGCCCACTGAGCCACACACTGCCCCTGTCAGTTATTAAATGTGTCAGTTATTTGCTGAATCCCGCTCATGACATAAAGAGAAAAATGATGTATATTGCGGCCACATTTTACTAATTTGTTCTCTCATTTTAGTTAAACATAGACATGTTTTGTTACTTAGTTTGCTTATTGTGTAATGCATCACTTTCATTTAGGTGACTAGCGACATCTGTATCAGTCGGTATTCCTGTACATGCTATTTGATCCTTCCCCCCCACCAAATTTTATTGTATCATAAGGCCCGTATTATATTTTATCGTAAGGGAAGTTCCATATTTCATCAGATTGGAAGTGGCAGCCCTATGTTGGAATGACCTACAAACACATTCGTAAAAGCTTTGCATTGCAAGGAATCGTTACTAACAAAAGGAGCCAGGGTGCTTTTCCGAGCTGATTGCTTCCTCTAGTTTTAGTTCAATTGTGGCCACATTTTATTGATTCGTTCCCTCATTTTAGTTCATTCATTGGTGCGTTTTATCAATTCATTCCCTCCTTTTTGTAAAATAGTGACCATAATTTATTAATTTGTTCTGACGATATATCAAAACGTGACCACAATATGCATATGTTTCATCGGTATCTCATGAGTGAGGCTCCACGCATGTTTTGATGTTTCACTTCAGAATTTCAACTTATCGCCAGAAAGCAGCAAAAGGTGATCGTACTAGCATGTAAAGATACCGGCACCCACTGAGATACAGCATCTTCTCTTAAGACGTTCAGAGTTAATTCCTCAGCATGTATCTCCATGCTGAAAGCCACGCCTGTAGACCTCCATCCTTCACCGTTTACTTTTGTGCTGCGCAGATTCTTGCTAAGTAATAAAACTGTAAACAGAAGGTGAAGCACACCCAGCCAGAGGACGGAAAAGGCTGCGTCTCAGCCAATGGGACCCATCGTATGTGCCCCCCTCCCCGCCCCAGGACAGAGCATGCCATCAATCAGCAGCCAGGGAAACAGGAGCCTGGCCTTCGCTATGCCCATCTCCAGTATCTGCGCTGCTATGCATTCTCACTCTGCAGTCATAATATGGCTGTTTTCTATGCGGTTTACATTTTTAGCACCAGTCCCCCTCCCCACCAGCAGATATACAAGCACTTGAATCATCAACTGAGTCAATTAGAGGCCGAAATCGAGTCACTTCACTTTGAGGGAAGGGGGGTAGCTGCAGAGTGATGTCATACCCGGCCTCTTGCCTTTATTACACCGTGACACCACTGCAGTGTGGCAGCGCTGGGTACGCTCTCCCTGCTGGCTCGGTGCTGGGTCCCTGCCAGCCCGGTACTGGGTATGCTCTCCCTGCCGGTCCAGTACTGGGTATGCTCTCTCTGCCGGTTCTGCACTGGCTGTGCCCTCTCTGTCAGCCTGATACTAGGTACACTCTCCCTGCCAGCCCGGTCCTGGGTACGCCCTCCCTGTCGGCCCGGTACTAGGGACACTCTCCCTGCCATTTTGGTGCTGAGTCCTTGCCAGCCTGATACTGGGAACACTCTCCCTGCTGGTCCGGTGCTAGGTACACCCTCCCTGCCGGCCCAGTACCGGGTACACCCTCCCTGCCGGCCCAGTACTGGATATGCTATCTTCTCCAACTTCAGAGCTGATACAGTCGGGTTTCTCTGTTCACCTTGGATCAGACACCGAAGCTGTGAAGCCAATGTATGAAGGGGAAGCCATCGCCTGAATGGATCTTTCCCTCCCTAAATCCCTGCCTTTCACCTCCTTTTCCTCCACTGTCTCAAGATTCACCAAAGACTCTGCTGGACAGTCTGCTGTCCTCTCCTGTTCTTATGGGATGTCCCTTCCTGTCAGCCCCC